GTTCCTTGCTGGGGCGTTCATTTCATTTCCCATTACTCCCAACGTCTCGCTCAAAGCACTGAGACTTACAAGTGTAGTATATTGAAATAGACTACAGCTTCTTCGCCTCACTTCTGTATTCTGTATTCATTTTTCTTTCAATTCTTTCATCATCCTATTGAGTGTTTTTTAAACTAAGTATGGCTCAGATGAACTGACCAATTCTTGTGAAGTCATACACAGGACAGTCTATCCAGTGTGACCCCAAATTTTTAGAGGAACTTAAAAAGTGTGGCATTACTACAATAGGAAGAATATGTGAAGGAACTTACCACACTGCTCTTGCAGAGAAAGAAGGCGTCTAGGTTCCAGACTGACCATTTGATGGTGGTGTGTTACCATCCAGCCAGGCTGTTGACCGGTTATGTCTTGGAAAGATGAAGTTTCTTGAAGAACCTAGTTGTTTTGTCACTGTCATCTTGTTACAGGTCTTGGGAGAGCTCTAATGCTTGTTGTCCTAACATTAATTGAAGGTGGCATGAAATATAAAGATGCAGGAAAGTTTAGAAGATGAAAGTGGAGTAGAGCTTTTTTTTTCTTAAGATTTTATTTATTTATTTGACAGAGAGAGACACAGCGAGAGAGGGAACACAAGCAAGGGGAGTGAGAGAGGGAGAAGCAGGCTTCCTGCAGAGCAGGGAGCCCGATGTGGGGCTCGATCCCAGGACCCCGGGATCATGACCTGGGCTGAAGGCAGACGCTTAACGACTGAGCCACCCATGCGCCCCTGGAGTAGAGCTTTTAAAAGCAAGCAGCTCTTGTCCTAAAATCTAGCTGCACTTCATCTTTACCAGTAGTCATAGAAACTGCTCTTACAGTCAATAAAACTGGGCTGCCTGATGCTATTGTCTCAGAAATGGAGCTTAAGACGGGACCCGGTTTATCATACATAATAGCCAACACATAGGCTTGATGAATGGGAAGTCTAATGAAGCTTTCATAGGAGTATTGATAAGCAGTTCTATCAGGCCTCACGCTTGGCAGAATTGCAGCCTCTGTGTTTGGATTATCATTGGGCTATTTGGAAACTTAGCAAAAGATGCTTGCTGTTCAGCATTTAAAACGTGCTTATCGTTTTTATCAATTGACCTTTCCAGGAAGCGTTCAGTATTGAGTTGTAAGTCTTCTGCAAATCTATTCACATGCCAGAATCTTAGCAATATATAAAAAATATAAAAAGATTGGGTGCCAAAATACCCAGCCACAATACTTGTATGTTTTTAATATCATACAGAATTAAAATTCAGGAACTGTGACAAACAGTCTAGATCTTCTATGGTTTATCCCTTCAGTCATTTCAGACATTGATAGTAGGACCTGTATGGCTATTTGCCTACTACTTTATGTTTATATCTCTCACATTTAAAACAGTATACATCAGGTTTGTGTCACCACTGATTTTGTTGGCTTTTGGCCAAGTCTGATAATGATTTTTTAATGTCTTTCTATAAATCTCATTTTGTGCTATTATGAAAACCTTCATTGTGAAAATCACAAACCTCTGGTTGAAAAGTTCATGTAAAATCCACATTGTAACAGAAGCACATATCTTTAACGTCTCCAGACAAAAACATCTTAAAGTTAATTGAATGTTTGCACTTTGGGGTGCAAGTAAAAGAGAGGGTGGAAAAATGTGGGAGTGAGCTATTAAGTACTTTTAGCAAAATGTCGTGTAGGATGTACTGAATGTGCCTGTTAGTAAATATGTTTTTAAGATAGACATGCTTTGTTCTTGTAGCTCAAATAATTCTTAATCATAAAATTTCTGAAAACTTGTAATTTTTTCCTATTTTTATTGGAAGTTGTTTGCCAACTATTGTTGATAGAAGTGTGAATTTTTTCCTTCTCTCCCAATCTTTCTTGCAACAAGAGAAGTTAGTTTATGCTAATGAATTGAGTAGGTGTCTAATATTTTGTTTTCCTTTTGATCTGTATAACTTAATATTTGTATACTTGATAATTTGTCATATAATTGATAAGGGAGTACTGTGTATCAGTGTTCAATCATATATTTATAATTTCTGTAATATATGATTCTAGTTCTTTGGGAAAAATAATTTGTAAATGTCCATCAGCTTGTAAAAACTTAGTATTTAAATAAATACTGAAATGGAAAAAAAGAAAGAAAAAGTTAAGAGTAATCATTAAACAGATGGAAATAGAATTTATAACTTCTAAAACAGAAGATGGAAATGTTCGATTTTAAAATTCAATTTGAAAGAAGGCAGGAAAAGAGAAAAAAAGATGGACAAAATAGAATGCAGTATTAAAATGTTAGCAGTAAATCCGAACATATCAGTAATCACAATATGTAAGTGGACTAAATTTTCTCCTTGGGTAACTATTAAATCCAGCTATATAATATTTGTGAAAGAGACCTTAAAATTATGGGTATGAAACATTAAAAGTAAGAGGATGATAAAGGTATGCCAGGCAAGTACCAAGCAAAAGAAAGCTGATGTCATTAAATTAATATGAGGAAAAAAAAATGAATTTTAGCCCAAAAGCCTTATTGAAAATAAAGAAGGTTGCTACAGAGAGATTGAAGACTAAATTTATCAGGAAAAGATAAAAGTGCTAAACTGTTACACATTGAATTACCCGGCTTTAGAATATATAAAACAAAAATTAACTAATTACAAGGGAATATTTTTAAATAGATCATCACCGTGAGAGACTGAAACCAACCATAATCATTCTAGCATTCTAATAAAATGTACTTATGCTTTGGGATAAAATGCCCAAATAAGATATCCTGGAAGTGTCCTATCTCAAACAACTCGGATGAACTCAAAAAGTGGTTCTGGTAATGACAAAGACTCTGCTATTGAAAATGTGGACAGTTGGAATAAAAGTGTTTCTTGAAATGCAAGTGAAGAAATAGACTTCCTAAATTAAAATTGTGTAATAATGAAAATATTTTTATATATATCGAATATCATAAGCATTTGATTATTTCATCAACATTAAAGTTTGACATTAGTCATTTGGAAGGAGGAGAAATGAGATTGTCTTATATTGGCTAATTCCTTATATTTAGTTGGCATGTGATCAGCAACTATACAGTGTGTGATTTGTGGCTCATTGGAGCCAGAGGGACTGCGGACATAGGCTGGTTCATTGCTCGTGTACAGAATCAAGCCGATAGCTCAGCTGTAGCCTCAGTCTGGCACTGGTGTTCTGTTTCATCAAAGCTGTGTCAAACTGATACCAATGATCATGTTCACCATGATTACATATAAACTGTACGTTCAATATAAGTGCAGTTTTTACCATGAAGTCTACCTATCTCGAACTTTGCATTTGGTATTTTAAAAGATGTTAATGAAAAGTTTATAATGATGGGAGTCTTAGGAAGAGGCAGCAATAATTTGGATGGCCCTGGCCCCTCTTAAAGGAAAGAAGGAAAAAAAAAACTATAGAGAATTTTGAGAATGCCTCCTTTTCCTATGCAGAAATTTGTCTTTGCCTGGCCGAGACATTTAAAACCAATCCACTGATCAGTTTAAAAAAAAAAAAAAAAAAACTCAAAAAACCAGCCACTACGACAGCCAAATACTGAACCCATCTATGAGACCTTCACATACGAAGACCTAGAGAGGCCTCATAGGTGGGGTCTTCAGAGTAGTATTTTTCTTTGCTCCTTCCCTGTTTCTTCCTCTATCCAAATTTGTTACCTCCTTTCCTCTTCCTCATTCCCAGTCCTCCCCTGCTCCGTAACAATTTTGAATCAATGCTGAAGAGCTGCTTGAGTACGGGAAGTGGGTGAATTGTTGGTTATTGAGGAAAATTCATTGGCTGTGTGTTTAGTAGCTTCAAGACTTGAAAAAATACTCACCAGCATATATAACTTGCCTTCACACTCTCTGGCTCTCTCTGAGAGTCCGTGTCCTTACTGCGCTTGTTGCAGAAACTCAGGAAGCCATGGGTTGCCTTTAGAAATTATCTGAGGGGGTAACAAATGCAAACCACTTTAGAGTCAAGTAATTCTAGATGGATTTAAATCCACTCAGCCTGCTAATTGAGCAGTCCACGCCTTTCTCCGACTCCCGCTTAGCTTGCACTGCTATTTGATGGAGACAGAGTTCCCTTGTCAGACTAAATAAATATGAGCGGTGTGTGGAAAGTGCCTAGGAAGGTGCCTAACATGTGTTAGAGGACCCATAAATGGCAGCCATTATCAGGAATACTTTTATTATCATGTTTATGTTATCTGGCTTTAATTGTGCTGAGCAATGAAGTAGAGGTTCTACAAGAAGTAAGGCTGGGCTGGACTGTGTGGTCCGGTATGCATTTGAAAGTTGTACCCCATGGGCAATTTGACTTCTCTGCTTTTTTGGTAATCTTGAGACACATATTTTCTATCTACTATTGTTTTAATGGTCATCTTGAATTAATTCAGCCCCATATGGGTTATACACATTCCCTTTGTTAACCTGCATGTTAATAGCATGATTGCTGATATTTGATGGGGTACTTATGCCAATAATTTTATATTCAATGTAAGACAATGTAAATTCTTAGAGGAAAAGTAACTTTAGTAACTAGAGAACATAAAAGTAGTGTTATTTTAATTCTCCTAGTTATTTTGTATTAATTTTCTTATCCAGATGTGTATGCAATAGGTAGATTCTATGAACAAATTCTGGTAACTATTTGATCAATTATCTCCTGAAATTTTCTACCTGGGGACCTTGTTCTGTCCTGAAAGTATCAACCTTTGGCTTATAGTAGAAATATTTTCAATCAATGAGATGAGGATATCAAGAGTATAAAAGCTAGTTTAGATTAACAGATGCCCCAAGAACCAAAGTGAATTCTGCTTCTGTTTATTTTCAGCAGGTAATTTAACTCGGTTTTGGCCAAGAATAAATAGGTCCAGAAAAATTAGGTGAGCTCTATGTCTTATTCAGTGGATTTTCTTGTTTGGTCTGATTGCTCTTTTTTGCATGTGTTTTCAGGCTCAGCTATGTGAATTATGCAGAGGATCTGGCCTCCAAGCTCCTACAGTGTTCCCCAAAGAACAGACTATCAGCACAGGCTGCCTTGAGCCATGAGTATTTTAGTGACCTGCCCCCACGGCTATGGGAACTGACCGATAGTGAGTATGACAAATCTGAGACATCCAATCAAAGCAGGCATATTATTTTAGCGTCTGTGTGTAACGTACTTGTAGGAGGATTCATATGCTTTTATATGTGCATATGTAAGATTATGTATGGTTGCATATGCATTACATGTACACATATGTATGTGCGTGTATCTGTAGACGGGGGTTGGGGGAGACCCAGTGAGAGAGAGAGAGAATGAGGAAAAGGGAGTCATGTGTGTATATATTTAGTGGAATCCTGCCATCCAGTTGCTAGCTTACCAGACGGAGAAAGAAAATGGATTCCTTTTTTGCTATCTCTGCTTTGCAGTCTGCAATGCATGTCTTTGTATTAGATTATGTGTGTGTCCAAAAGAATGATCTGAGCAGTCATAAAGGAAAAGGGAAATATGATTTACATATTTAGTGCTTTATGCATGCAGTACTTTTTAACTGGCTGCAGTACACAGAGGAGAAATGATTCATTTTTGTTTGATTCTCAGAGACCATCTTGGTTGTAACAATAATGTTAAAAAGGGCTGCTATGCAGTGAGCTGACGAGCAGAGTTGGCAATTGGCTAATGCACTGAATTGACATGTAAGAACCAAAGACTTGTAATTCATTTCAACTACACATGCTCTTGGTATTCATACAGACAGCGCTTCTCTGGATCTTTTAAAACAAAACACATTCCTGGGTGGGTTTTTGTTTTGTTTTTACAAAAGCGTTCGTATTTACACAGCCTTTTTCAATTATATTTTAAATATTTGGGAGATTTATGGCTGGGAGGATCTCATCTTTCTTCCAAAGTGTGAAACAGAATTCTTGTGAAATTTTGCAAGACACTATTGCAGTAAGAGCATTTTTGTTCAACAGTGATGCGTTCTTTCCAAATGCCAATTTGAAATATTCCTTCTCATACTCTTTTCTAACTACCTTAAAAATTAATATACTGCCTACATGCATAGGCATTTATAATATATTTATTAATCCTTGGGTACACATTTACCATAGACATACAGAAAGTTTATTTCTTTAATCTCTTGGACTTTAGTCTTTCCCCCCATTGTAGTATTAGATTCTCCTTGACAACAGGACCCCTTTATTTTGTAGCTAAGTCCCAAGTAACAACTCCTCTTGCATATTTCTACCCAAAATCTTTTTTGATATCCTACATTTAATTTGAATTTCTTTTTATCCTAAACTGTCTATAGATATATTAATCCACTACTCACTACTCCCCCTTATGCTTAGTAAATCTTCTTTAACATTTTACATATTCCCAACCAATATTTATTCTATATTCTGCCCTCCTTTCTTTCTAAAAGTCTACCCATTGACCATTATGACAGCTCTTCCCATTTTTTTTTTTAAATTAAAGATGAAATTTCTGTGGAAAAATAATGAATTAGTGACATCTTTCTATACTGGAAAAAAAAAGATACAAATGGGCTCATTAGTTTATGACTCATCAAATTCAAACGTATGGTCTGTTTTCCCATTTAGTATAACTTGTAACTTGATATCATTCCTCCTTGGTGACATCTCAATCCCATCTGACTCGATGATTGAGTTTAAGCCAGGATTTTGATGGTCTACGAATTCTGAGTTCTGTGGTAGTACTTTTCTGTTAATATGGACTTATTACCCACTTGCCACTTAGTTTATCAGCCAGTGGTTAAATCCAGTTTCTGTCAGGAAGTAAATGCCTACACATTATCACTCGGCAGCAGGCTGCCACCGGAGATAGCCTTGTCCCCATCATTAACAAGCACAATGTATGCAGAACACCAGAGGGGAATTAAAACCACAAAAAATACCTCAGGGTGGTATTTCTAATATGAGAATTTAATTTGTAATTTCACAGATTAAGAATTTTGGCTGCATTAATCCCTTTATCAGCTCACAGCAGGCTATTTGCAGAAGCATAACCATAAGGCGATATTCATTGGCAGAAACACGTCTTTGCATTAACGTTAAACATCAGGAGCAGTGAAACCTTTTGAAGGGGGGAGAATAAAGATGAAAAATCATTATATTTTTAAAGCAAGATTCCGTTAAATGCCTCCGGTAACAATTTTGAGTTACAGAAATGCTATTTCTGTGTCTAACAGATAATCATTATGAGGCATAAATCCAGTCCCAAGAAAGGACAATCCCAGTATCAAATACTATAGTCACTTCCATTTAGAACAATGTGGTAGTCCTTGTAAACATGTTTACAAAACAAAATTCCTAGACTTCAGAAACTTTGAGAACTAGTTCTTTTTGGTGAAATGACTTCTTCCAAGGACTCTGTTATCTAGGTTAATATTCTGCAGACTATATTTAGAAATGATTCAAATTAAATTTCCCGTTAGTATGGAGTCTGATAAAAGTTCACCACCTGGCAAATGGCAGCAGCGAGGGTGGTGTCCTCATGTGCTTCCTTTAATAAGAAGATTTGGAAGGAGGTCTACCTGAGAAGAAGTGTTGCAGAACCAATAAATGGATTGTCTTAAAAATGAATGAGTGAATGAATGAATGAATAAAATGGATTGTCTTAAGCAACGAAGTATTGGTTTAGATTCATCAAATCCAGGAACCTCACTGTATTAGTCTGCTCAGGCTGCTATAACAAATATACCTTAGCCTGTGGGGGCTTGAACAACTAGCATTTATTTCTCTTAGTTCTGGAGGCTAGGATGTCTAAGATGGAGGTACTGGCATATTTGGTTCCTGGTGAAGCCTCTTCCTGGCTTGCAGAAAGCTACCTAACTATATCCTCACACAGGCAGAGAGAACAGTCTCTCCCTCTCTCTTCCTCTTTATAAAGCCCCTAATCTCATCATGTGCGCCCCCCCACAACCTCCTCCAACCCAAACCCAAATTACTACCCAAAGACTCCGTCTCCACATACCATCACATTGGGGATTAAGGTTTCAACATATGAATTTGGGAGGAACGCAATTCAGTCCATAGTGCTTACATTCTTAAAGATAGTTTATAGAGTTTTAAAAAGAATATCCACAAAAGGAAAACACGTATGCAAGCAGAAAGCAAAACCAGATTAAAAGGAGAAAATTGGAACAAAAATAAATTAAAAGTGGGCTTGAGCCTTCTTGGCCTACTTTAATATATCCTACTCTGTGAGAAGGGTATCAGGTGTCGTTACAATCCTGGTTACACAAAGCACTGCAGTTGTTCCGTGGATCCATATAAAAATGAAGTTGTATGCTTATGTCAGACTCTGCTTTGCTTTGGAAGAACATTTAACAATATAATATCTTTACTGTACCGCTCGTTAAAATCTCACTAGTTTACATAATACCAAAATTTAGAAGTGTTGTGTTAGTGTGCCACCAAAGGGGGAATTACACATTCATCAAGCAAGAATAATGATACCTGGGGATCTCGTAGTTAAAGCTGGCTAATTCTGGTGGCACCCTGTCATTCTCCCTCTGTCCTGAAACCCCAACAGCCTTGCCCCACTTCTTCACAGAAATTTAATTGCAGGGAAGTAAATGGAGGGCTGATTTAGAAGAAATTCATTACTTTTCCAAAATACACCACAGGGCATTCTCCTGTGTATACTATCAAGTTACATAAATTATTGAAGCTGAACTACCCTTGTCAAAGTAAATGAACAAAATACACTTCATAGCACAGAGTCCTTGATTTTATTACATTCATTTGCTAATTCACAAAACTCAGATCTGCAGTAAAAGAAGGGCAACAAATTGGTACAGTGTGTGGAGCATCAGACTGGGAATCAGACCACCTGGATTCTAGCTTCAGCTCCACTAGGAGCTAGCCAGGCAACTTTGGGCAAGTGCCTTGGTCTCAGTGGGTTCCTGATTTCTCATTTAGAGACACAGTGATCCCTAAGGACCTTTCCAGCTCTGATGTTTGTGAGTTTTCCTACTCATTCCTATATACATCCTATATATTATCCTAAAACAACATTATAGCCATTAATTTAGCCTCACACTGTCTTCTTAAAAATAAAACAAACACACCTGGTTCACATATATTTACTGCTTCCAGTTCGTTCCTAGACTTCCATTCTCTCTTGAGTCCTTTTGAACAAGGCTTTCGTGCACAAGGCTCCGGAACTGTTGTTCTCAAAGTCTCTGTTGGTTGGTCTTTCCCCAGCCTTCATCTAGATCCATCAACAGAATTCAACACAACTGTCCACTATCACTTCCTAGTAACGCTTCCTTCCCTTGGATTCCAGGACGGGACGCTCCCATGGCTTTCCTATTGGAGCTACACTAAACTCTCCTCTTCAGACTTCTTTGTGGATTTCTCCTCATCTGCCAGCCCTCTCACTTTTAGAGTGCTCTAGTGCATAATCCTCAGGTCTGTCTACATATGCTCCCCCCAGAGCCTCCGTGATCTCATTCAGTCTCATGATTTTAGGTATCATCTATACATTGACAGCTTCTACATTTCTGTCTCCAGTCCCACCTTCCCTGACTCCAGACTTGCATATTCAACTGGCTATTTAGCATCTCCATTTGGCCCTCTAGTAGGCATCTCGAACTTAGTATCACCAAAACCAAACTGATCTTTCCCCCCAGGCTTGCTCCATCTGTCCTCTCCCCCTTGTCAGTAAATGGCAACATCGTTCTTCCCACTGATGGAAGCTGTCCTCTATGCCTCTTCTTTTGTCACACTCAACCCCAGTTCTTCCACAGACCCTGTTGGCACTCCCTTCCAAATAGGTCGAGGACACACCACTCCTCACTTCTTCACTGCTATCACAGTGCCCCACGTGCTCCCCATCTTCTCTCACCTGCGTTTTACAGTACCCTTCTGTTTTGCCTGCTTCTCCTCTTGCTCCTTGGTGTCAGCCCTTGCTGTTTCCTCTTCCTGTTGTTTGTGCTTGCTAGATTTCTGCCTGGATTGCTCTCTGACCTCCTTGGGTCTCTGCTCAGATGTCTCTTATCCAGAAAGCCCAAGTGTCGCCTGCCTGGCTCAGTCACTTAAGCGTCCGACTCTTGATTTCAGATCAGGTCTTGATCTCAGCGTTGTGAGTTCAAGCCCCGCCCTGGGCTCCGTGCTGGGTGTGGCGCTACTTTAACAAAAAAAAAAAAAAAAAAGAAGAAGAAGAAAAGAAAGCCTTCACGGACCTCCTTCCATCGCAGCATTTCCAGTTTCTCTTCCCTGCTTTATTTTTCTTCGTAAGACTTACTGCTAGTTCATATATTTGTTTGATTTTGATTGTTTATCATCTGTCTCCCCCGAACAGAATCCACAAGAACAGGGATTTCTTTTCGTTCCGGTTTATACACTACAGGATTCCAAAATACCTAGAACAGTGTAGGCTCCATAAATATTCCTCCAGTGAACAAATAAAAGAATGGCATGAAGGAAGTGTAAGACATGTTGTTTCCAACCCAAATTCATTGTTTTAGATCAGAGAAATATGAGCACGAATATCAACCGCCCTGTGGTTCTGAAGGGAAGGCAGACCGTGCTGTCAGATGTGTGTACAAATCTGTGTCAGTGTGTGGCTGTTACCACTTGACATTTCAGAGACCAACACATACCATGATGTTTTATGGGCTGGATATCTGGAATTGCATCTCAGTCTCCATGTTTTACAAGGAAAGATTATAAATAATCTATAAATATATAAATGGAAACTCTTTATTCTGTCCACAGTGTCTTCTATTTTTACCGTCCCAAATGTAAGATTGCAGCCAGAAGCTGGAGAAAGCATGCGGGCCTTTGGGAAAAACAATAGTTATGGCAAAAGTCTATCAAATAGCAAGCACTGATGAGCACAGCATTGCATTCTCAAGAAAGCACAGGTAAGGTGACCTACTTTGCCTGGAAAGTAATAATGAATAGACATTGAATAGATCTTTTCAATGAAATATTTCAGATTCCTTTTTTTCCCCTATGAGTCCTGTGAATCTCTTGTGTTCATTATGGCATTCATCACAGATTCTACTGAGGAGAATACAGTTGTCATATTTACAGGTACCTACTAGATCCTAGCCAAAATTGTATTTTATTTATGCAGTCGTAAACCATTTCAGTTATAAGCAGATCATTTTAACTACTCATACATTCTTCGTTGACGTTAGAAAAAGGTTAACCTTGGGCCGTATCTAAGTCACAGATTTGCTTTATTGGGCCCACACCATTTTTTAGATTAGTTGCTCTCATTTTAAAATGGAGAAATTTTACACAAAGTCTGGATTCTTGGCTTCTTCTTCTTCTTCTTTTTTTTTTTTTTTAAATCAGTGACTCCGGCAATGCTGCACTCACACATTCCTGCCAGAATTTCATGTGTATAACTGAATGGTGGCTGCTTGCCTTGGAAAGAACACGCGCTCCCTCGTTTAGCTCTGCTGCCGTGTGGGCTACTCAGCCCACTTCCGATTCTTCCCTGGGCCCTAGGACAGACCTCATCATGATGATGCTTTTCTTTTTTCCCTGTGCCATTCCTTGACCTCTGCTGTTCTGTAGATAGGAAGCATCATCTAAACAAGGCAGTCTCTTGCATGTCGCCTGTTCTAGTCACACATGCTTCACAGAAACAAGCAGAAGACAGCTGCTTCTGAAAAGGCTGTGTCTTTATTGCCAGATGGAAACATCTGGGTTTGGGGGGAATTTTATGCCTATATATATCTTTCTGGGTTTTTGTTTGTTTGTTTGTTTTTTAAGATTTTATAATGTAACATAACTCCGAAGCAAATGGAGAACACACTTTTTTGTGGGGAAGGCTTTTTATTTGCTAGCCCATATGTGTTCCTTGCTCATGTGGATATTCAGTAATTAAATGTTCCAGTGAATCGAAGGATATAGACAGCATTGCAAGAGCCCCTCTTCCTTCTTCTCCTTAATACGAGATATGTTAATAGGCTGAATTGCCAGCATGGTGAAAAGAACAAATGAAACTGTCCACCTTGTCTTGGGGGTGATTTGCCAAAACGTTGAGTTATGTGGAAGACTTCGCTGTTGCCTACATCAATGTGGGGGCCAATTTTGGCCTCTCGGGAATATGGTGGTGATGGATGAATGATGGAAATGAAAGCTCCCCAGGTAAAACATGGTGTGTAAATGCCAGTCAGAAAATGTTACTTATAGACTCGCTGCTCCATATGTAAGAGTAAGATTCTTCATTCTTCAGGTTATTTCTCCCCATTGGATACAAAGTTACCTAGAAGCACAAGTTCACTCCCTCCCTGGTATTTGTACTCCCATTCTGAATTTCAGCTGGTCACACAAAGAGTGGGCTGAGTTACCTCCTGGCTGTGAGAACAGGTTTAATTCATGAGGTTTGTAGCATATGCTTTTTAAAGTGTTTAACCTGCATTACCATAATGAAGGCACCTGGCTTCAGAAAGCCCGCAGACAATTCAGTTAAAACAAAAGATGGACTGTATTTGTGCTGCCTCACGCACCCAGCACACAAGCAAACTTGAATTTCAGTCACAGGGCTGTGTGTCTTTTCTTCTCTGCTCTTTTAAGATCTCTGACCCGAGCCTACCTAGCCAGTCAAAGCTGCTAGAAGGTGCTTCAGGTCAGCTTCTCCTTGCAAAATCAAATGAAGCTGATTGGACAGAAACACTGCCCGTAAGGTCTCAGAAATTGCTAATTAAAAAGAGGTTTATAAAAAGAGGTGCTCAGAACTTCAGTCATCTGTATTTGAAAGGTTTTACAAAAAAATATGTTTTCTTTGCAGTATATTTTTTGAGCTAGATTTAAGGTTATACAAACTCCTTCCTCTAGAACTGTTTGATAATAATATAAATATGTTCTCTGTGAGTTTTCTCCTTTTCACATCAACTTTTGAGGCTTTAATATTATCGTTTATGTTGCTTTCTTCCAAATCCAAATACCTCAGCTTGAGTCAACATTATAGTGAGGAAACATCTAAGTTTTTCTTTTCTCGGAAAAGCTACAGGGAAGCTGGATTCTAAGAGTTTTCTGTCAGCCAGCAGAAAAAGAAACCATTTTAATTCTTCACCTTTGTGGGTTTTTAATTTCACTCAAATGAGGCCATCTTAGAAATCAAATAGTACAGCCTGTATATTGGCCTAATACATCTGTGCCGTGGAACTTCTTCTGACCAACAGCTGAATATTGATGTCTGTATTGTAGGTATGACAGAGCAAAAAGTCTACATAAATAAGAGTATTTGTATAGAAAAACATGTAATTCCCTGGATTTTGATTTTGTTGATGAATTAATTAACTGTTTAGAGCAAGCTGTGGCATGTTTAATTTTTCTCAAACGTCCCAGTTCTTTGTAAAACCTAGAGAAATTGGGAAGAAGAGGGGTGGGAAAGAGGTTGAGGGCCCAACGAGGCTAACACTGTAATCTAGCATTTCAGCCGTCTTTCTTTGGGGAGTTGCGCAGAATCAGGATGAAAAATGCATTGCATCACTTCTGTTTTTGAAATGACGGAGGACTGTTCTAACTTTCCTCCTATACCTCAGTGCCAAATTGTTTCTAAACTTGCATACTAAGGTCACTTCAATTATTTAGTTAATAATACTGGATTTGCAAAAAGTTGCCTTAGTGGAAAAGCTAACGAGAAGCATTTTTCTTTGCAGCAGAAAGCAATTTTTGTTCAGAGTCTTATAACCAAATTAAATGAAAAGAAAACTGCCTGCACCTAAGTTAAAAATGGGGTAGGTGCCACTGGATGATCAAAATACTGTGCTTCCTACATGTTGTTATCCTCTAAAGATGTTAGTAGACGAATGCTTTCATAGATTGTCCCCACTCTTTTTATCAGCATTGAAGGGTAAGACCATCCTAAAGTCTGAGAGAGCCTGAAAATGTGCATTGAAATTTTTCCCAAAGACCAGAAGCTATTAAATACCACATCCATTTGTATCACTTATATTTACATATAGCAATTCCAAACACGTCTCTATGCTGAGCTTAATTTTCCAGCCATTCTGAATTGAGACGGAAACTGCATGGTCACTCTGTCTACTCCTTTTGCTGAATACAGGGATAAGAAAGACCCTCTGGCATCATTATCTGAATGTTCAGTAAAGCAGGTATTCTCACGCCCTGGGGAGTTTTTTAAAACCGCAGGTTCCTGGGTCCATGAATCTGCACTTTGAAGGACCCCAAAGGATGTTAATGCAGGTAGCCCTTGAACCACATATGATGAAATCTTCAGTAAATATTTGAGAACTGTATATTTATGAAGTAAAATAATCAACTTATTTGGGTCAGGACTGGATAAAGACAGACTAGGAAAACCCACCCCTTCCCTTCCCTTCCGTATTCTTTTAAGGAAGCATAGTGCAGAGTTATGCTCTCCAACAGGGTAACCCACTAGCCACGTGTGGCTCTTTCCATTTAATTTTTAATTAATTAAAATTAAATTAGAATTTTGTATCCTCAGTAGCAGAACCCCATCTCAAGTGCTCATTAGCTACACATGACTCATGGCCACATACCGGGGACAGGGCAGATGCAGAACCTTTTCAGTATCACAGAACACTCTACTGGACAGCGCTGGTGAGGCGCATTGCCCCTGCCTGCCTTTTTTAAGAAAGAATCGGGAAAATTAAAACTCCATTCAATCAGTAAAACTATGTTTCAATTCTGGATTATAGCCGTCTAAGAGAAGCTTGAATTGTGTGAGGAAGGGACACCTTCCATTGAGAAGACAGGTGGCTGGGTGCGAGGGACAGAGACAGATCGTTGAGAATGACAGGAAGAGCTGTGCCGTGGGGCCGGGGAGACCACGAGCTAGTGGCCTCGGTCACATTTCTTCAGTTAACAGTGGTCTTTGTTGAGGTTGCTTTGGGAAATTAGGCAGAACAAGGCTGATGGTCCACGCAGCTGCATAGACAGGCCTCACGAAGACTGGGTGTCCGTCAGAATCCAGCAGGAGTCTGACTTTGCCTACCACCTTAGCCACCAGCTCAGCTCTGGTAACCGCTCCTGCCGACGCAGCCGGCTCTTGGTATCCTTTGTGCATGACATGATGGCGGCTCGCTTTTTCTGGCTGTGCCTCTGCTACCTACCATTTCCCTCTCCTCTTCATCTCATGGCTTCCGCCGGCTTGTTTCTGCTTATTCATGAATCCTGCTAATTGTCATTTCCCTTCATCCCTCTATTTCCGGGACAGCCTCTCAGTGAGCTCTTTTACTTGGATTCAAACCCTCCGCAGGAGCAGCTCTGATTGGTGTAGGCATCCTCGTGAAGCGGAAAGCAAAGCTTTGAGCTAGGCTGTTGTGTCAGTCTGACTGGATTGCCCTGGGCCCAGCGCCGAGCCCTGATCCAGTCAGCTGAGCTGCGAATGGGGCCAGTCTTCTCTTAAGGAACCCCTCAGGAGAGAGTTCTGGGTTTAGCAGCCCCTGAAGCTTCTACAAATCCCAGAGTATAGCCAGAAGGCACCTTGCCTGGCCTGTACACTATGAAGGAAAACAAAATCAAACAAGTACAGAGGGAAATTCCAATTTTAATGGCACGACAGCACCCTCATTGTGTGATTTATTTTTTTTTTTTTTGATGAAAGGTCTTTTTAAGCCATGTTGCATTTTCTCAACCGTAGGCACAATAGGAGATAATACTCATTAATACTTACCACAGTGTAAGAAATGCAAGTATTAGTTGTAGCTTTCCTTCAGCAGCAGCAGTTTTCTGGGTTTTTTTCTGGTAAGAACTTATTTTCTGCATGATCCTACAGATTTTTTTTTCCCCTATCAAACGACTACAGTTTTATTATCTCTGTTGTCTCATGCAGGTGACAGTAGTTGTGGAAATAACAGGCAGAGGAGGAAACAAACCTTAGTGTTCCTCACAGATTTTAACTGAAAGAATCCCTGGT